GTTAACAATGAAAATCTTGAGAAAATCTACATTAGTATTAAGTTGTGGGAGAGTCATTCCTCCAGTTATTCTTCTCTAGATATTGGGTCTTTGCCTCTCTTTCCTTATTCTTTTTCCCCTTGTTTGTCACCCCTTTGCATCTCTCTTGTGTCCCTGGTAGGAGAAGCTTTAAATAATATACTTTTCAGAGCAAGGCTATGAACTCAAGAAAAGTCCATGTGAAGTCTACAGATAATATTAAAGAGTGATCAGTAAATGTCTTTCTTGCTTTCTTGGACAATATTTGATTTGGGAAGCTTTCCTAGAAAAGAAAAAGTCCTTTGTGTCACACTAATTAATGTAGCTTCTTTGTTGTGCTCCTAAAGATGACTTAGCCAATCCTCCTTCCTTTCTGAAGAGTTCTCAGGTACTTGCAAATGCATTTGCTATTTTTAATTAAAAGTGTGTGATGTTTTAAAGGCTGCGCTAAGCTTTAAATATATGTGCAGAAAATAGTATAACAGGATATTATTTATCTGGATTTTAATTGTGTTCCTATTTTTTTAATTTAGAAACCCAGTCCAGATAACATTCATGAATAGGCGGATTAAAAATCTAATGAACTATTTATTTATTTATTTAGAAACTTTATTTATTTAGAAAATTTGTATTGCTGCCTACTTGTACATGGCAACTCAAGGCGGCTTAGATAAACTAAATTAAGTGATAGAAATATCCAACTGTCTTTACCAAATTTCGGAAGGAAAAATGTCAGACCTACTTGCTATTATGGGCCAGAAATCACAAAGAAATCCCAGGACTCCAGGCTAGACTGGAAAGTAAAAAAATAAACAAATAAAAAGCATCTTATTAGGAGATAGTGGTGGATCACTTCCATGTTGTTATATTTTGATGTAGTCATCAGCAATTTAACTTCAAGATCACGTGAAGTATTAATACCACTTTACAATGCCTTGGTAAGGCCACACTTGGAATACTGCATCCAGTTTTAGTCACCACAATGTAAAAAAGATGTTGAGACTCTAGAAAGAGTACAGAGAAGAGCAACAAAGATGATTAGGGGACTGGAGGCTAAAACATATAAGGAACGGTTGCTGGAATTGGGTATGTCTAGTTTAACGAAGAGAAGGACTAGAGAGGACGTGATAGTAGTGTTCCAATATCTCAGGGACTGCCACAAAGAAGAAGGGGTCAAGCTATTCTCCAGAGCGCCTGAAGGCAGGACAAGAAGCAACGAATGGAAACTAATCAAGGAGAGAAGCAACCTAGAACTAAGGAGAAACTTCCTGACAGTTAGAACAATTAATCAGTGGAACAACCTGCCTCCAGAAACAGTGAATGCTCCAACACTGGACATTTTTAAAAAGAGACTGGACAACCATCTGTCCAAAATGGTGTAGGGTTTCCTGCCTGAGCAGGGGGTTGGACTTGATGACCTCCAAGGTCCCTTCCAACTTTATTACTATTACTTCACTAGTCAAGTAATGAAGTGTCTGCAGCCTCAGAGAGCATCAAAGACTCCACAATAGCCACCAAACTCTTTGGCCTTTGAATACATTTCTATCACCTTAAGTGTCAAGTAGAGTTTGGAAGCTCCTAGATTGTGTGCCAAATGTATTTGTATCAATTTCTAGAAAGCTAATAATACTGTATCTTGACTCATCTCTAAAAGAAGGCATCATGTTGTAAATCAGTTATGCCCCTCTAACTGATGGTTTTATATGGTACAGTATAGGAAATGCCAAACCTTACAAACCTTTGCTTCCAACAAGCAAATTAGGAAAGCCAGATTTGCTTAACAACGTATGTGACTTAACAATCACATTATTCACTCATAGTTGTAAAATTGGGTCCAGTCATGTCATTATTTCCTTAGTGACCACATCACTTAGAAACTGAAATTCAGTCCAAATAGTGGTTTTAAGAACTATTTGTGATCTGAATGGGGCATATTATTTTAGATTAGGCTGCACCTTCCATTTAAATAAAACATTATATATAATAGGGCTCTTGTACTTTTCAGTTCTTTTTCCAAATTACCAATAATGTGGAAAGTACTCTCGTTTTATTTTTTTGTTTTATTTTTGCTTCTTCATGTGAGTTAAAGTTTTTCACCAAGAGCTTTTCTTCCCCGACTTTGACTCATGCTATCAAAAAAGACTGAAAAGTATTTTTAGAAAAGATCCAGAAATCCTGTATTCTATTCCCTATTAATTTGAAGCTGCTTTTTATTTTTATTTTTCCTTTCTGATAGAATACCGCTATCCAGCTATATGTGATTATACACAAATGAATATGAACACCACTCTACAAACTGGACTGGAAGAATAAATTGTTTAACCCAATTTTTAAAATGAATGTTCAGTTTGGAGTGTTAAAATATATTTTTCAGGTGAAATAAAAACGACATCAATTCCATAAGTATACCTCAGTTTCCAAGCAGGGATAGGTCTTACTTGGGAGTGGAAGGAAGGAGGGAAATAGATGGCTTTGTTCCATTTTCTTTTTTATTCTTTTATATTTTGTCTTTCATGTGTGCTTTCTTATTGCTGCATTTATTACTCAAATATATCTAAAAGTAATAACATTAATTCCAACATGAGAAAAATGTGTTGTTAATCTAGGCAACATGATATTAAGCTATGTTTTAGAAGGTGAAGGATGTGAAGAATATTTGGAGGACTTGAATATTTTTTTTTTCTAAAATAGTTCTTACTGCTTGTCATAGTGGATATAGTGCACGGGTGTCAAACTCTCAACGTCATGGACATGTCACGACATATTGCGACTTTTTTCTCATTGCCAGCAATGGGGTTGGCGCGGTTTTCGCGTGACGCATCTGGCCCGCGGGCTGGCAGTTTGACACCCCTGATTCTAGTGGATCTTATGTATTTTCCAACTGCTTTGCTTGTCATCCAACCCCTCCAGCTGTTATGCTGCCTTTTGTATTGGTGCTATAGAAGCTTGCATCCTCTCATTTATTGGTTTGCAACTTGTAAAAAGCACAAAGCAGTGCAGTGATGATGATGATGAGGAGGAGGTGGTGGTGGTGGTGATTTTCATGAGCAATAGCTCAGAAAGAGAAAAAGGACATTCACAACTCTGATGGAAGGTGTAAGATTGACACCATGGTAAATGTTGTGCTGTGTGAGCAAGTTCCACTATGTAGATTATACTGGACATCTGTTCTAGCTCACAGTTAAAGAATAAAAGTGTGGGTTTTTTTACAAAACTACTTCAAGCTTTCCAATGCTGCAGTATGCTGAAATGCTTCGCTATCTTTTCAACTTCCTAATCTTTTTCTTTCTCTGCCAAATTATAAATTGCTGAAAAAACCAACCCAGTTTCTAGCCTGCAACTCTGCTAATGTCTCTCTTTGCATTGTTAAAAGCAAAGGGGGATGTGTTTTCTGATAGAGGTTGGTTTTTTTTTTTTTTTCCTAACTTCCCTCACTGGGGGAGGTAAAATGTTCCTGACTGCTCTCAACAAGAGAGGGAGATACCATGGCCAATCACATGTTTTGCATATAGAATCCCCAAATTCAGTTGTTGGTATCTCAAGCTGTTAGGCTCTGGCAGTACATTGATTTGAATTATCTCCCTCCATCGTAGGTCTCTAAGACCAGGGCTGGAAGACGAACAATTATTTTGACATGTCATGGCTTCTACAGTATACAGGCATACTGTATTCCTGGATTTCCAAATGGGCAGGAGGAATACATAAGGATGGAGAGGGTTTGAGAAGACTTGGGTTTGGAAAGCCATGGATTTGCCAGGAAGCTTTTGGTCCGGTTTTTTCTAGGATGTACTTGAAATGAGCTTCCTCCACAGGATGGTTTCTCCTCTCTATCCTGGGCAGCTGCTGAGTTTAACCTTTCAGCTCTTCCTAGTTCCCTAAGGAAAACTTTTTAGTGAGCAAGTAATGAACTTTGTGGAACTTTGACACATCTCCTTTTGCAATAAGCAAGGAACGAGATTGGAAGAAGAACAGCTGAGCATGAGGCCCTATTTTGTACAAACAGATGGTGCTTAAAAGCAAAAAATTGTCTTTCGAGTTAAGTGAGGAGTTGATGCTCAGAATTAGATTCCCCCCCCCCTCCCGTTTCTTCTTTTTCAAAGTAATTTGGCAGGCTGCTTCCATTAAGTTAAGTGACTGAACCAATGTGTGAAGGCATCCTATTTAGTAACTTCAATCTAAAATTGCATTTTTTTTCTTGAGGTGAAATAGTAGCTTAATAGCTGGAGCTTTGTGCTTTGTCCTCCCTTTTCCATTGAAATATAGCACCAAAGTAATGCTATTTTCTTCTTTATGTAAGGGATAGCACATTTTTTTCTCTGGCTGAAACCATTGGTTAAATTGTTGTGATATTCCTCAAGCTCCAGCCTCTGGGGAGGAAAGATCATAATAAAACATTGTAAAAAGGAAAGAGGCAAGAGTAGAAAGTCATCCTCGGACAAACAAAAACAGGATCTTTACAATTTTAAGTTATAAGGTATTAATCATGATTAAACAAACCAGCAGCTGCTGGTATTTAAAGTTTGCAATCCTGGACTCAGTGGGTTGTCTAAGTTCTCAAACTTTGGTGACCTGTGTTCATATCTGAAATATTGAGATCCTGTTGTAGGACCCCTCATAAACAGGCTGTCATCTTGTATCTGGCCAGTCAAGAAAGCCCATTTAAAATGTTAAAATGATATTTAAAAATGTTTATCATTAAAGAATTTGAATATCCTATTGCTTAACTTTATCTTTTGGGGGAGGAGATGCTGGGCACCTTTTCAATAAATAAATAAATGGGTGCTGCAGCTGCCTGCAATATACATTACATATGAAAAAAAAGAAAAGAGAAGGAAGGCAGGAAGGAAGGAGGAAAGAGAAAAAGAAAAAGAGAGAGAGAGAAAGAAAGAAAAGAAAAAGAAAGAAAGAAAGAAAGAAAGAAAGAGAAAACTGTGCTTATGGGAGGACATGGGTACTGAAATTATCCTTTTTTTTCTTTCTAGAGCATTGTTCAGGCTACATTCATTGGTCATGATTGGGGTGGTGCCACAGTGTGGAATATGGCTCTCTTTTACCCAGAACGGGTCAAGTAAGTTAATTTCTCTGTGACATTTGCATGCAAAATGTATGATAGTGATGGATCAAACACCAAAAAGTGCTCATCACTTGGAGTTATGAGCAGAAGTACAATATATAATTCAGTACTATGTCTTACAGTGTATAGTACATACTTAACCTTAACAAAATTCAATATGTGGGTAAATTAGCTTTAGTTGGTAACTTTCAACCAATTTTGCATCAAATTCCATTGTTATTTGTTTCTAAATTTAATTAGAAGAATCCATGAAAATGTCATAAGTCTCCTGTTAACAACTTGTCAGATTTTACCCTCCTTCTCCTTTGTCCATTACTTTTTGAGCCATTTTTATTCTGTCATTATTCATCTGCCTAAATAATATATTACTAGTCGTCTTGGTTCGTCTCCCTTTCATTGTATTTTTTTAAATTCTATTTCATTGTTGCTATTTTTCCAGGATTACTTATACTTTTTTCTCCTTAAAAATTATGACGTATCAGAGGCCAGCCTTCTCAGTCTGATGCTTTCCACATGAGTCTAGAGCAGCCATCTTCCCTTAGATGTCAAGTTCCTCACTTTACTTTTCTACCAGATTTTAGCATTCAGCAGGTGGATAAACCAATAACCATATGTGACTGGAATTTGCCTTCCTTCTTTCCTTCCTTCCTTCTTTCCTTGCTTCCTCCCTTCCTCCCTCCCTCCCTCTTGATCCTACACAATTTTTTAAGGTATTTATTTAACAATATTTACAAACTGCCTCAGTTCATACAGATTTTCAGTAACAGAGAACAATTCCAGTATAGAACGCATCAGAATTGCTGGTCATATTAATTTATTGTTATTTTGAAAATACCAGTTTCATGGTAGCAATTATAATGCAATACAGAGACAAGAAGATAAGAAGTGCTGTTTGGTAGTGCAAATATTGTAGAATTGTTTAATTAGAATGGCATAGATTAATAACATGGGATAAATATTGTCTTAATAGTTAATATTATAAACCAAAATATTTACTCATAAAAAGAATCTTGCTGGATTTAGAATTATCTAATTGAGCAGAAAAATGTGCATACAATAATATTCTCTCTTGTGTTCTCCATTCAGTAGTTTTTAGAGACTTGTCCATTTTGGTATGGGAGCAGGACCACATTGGGAAGGACTGTCACAGGCTAATGACTATTTTTTATATTTTTTCCTAATACGGTACTTGTATGCATGATTTTTTTTTACTTGTTTACATTTTCTCAGCATTTCTGGGTCCTGATACCTATTTCTTTTTGTCTAATGAATGTTTATTATATTTTTATTCCACTTTTACTCAAGGAAACTATAGTCATCTAAGATTGATTTATATGTTAGATTTATATCCCAACCTTCTTTCAGGAGCTCCAAGTGAAGTACACAACATTCCTTTCCTCAAACTCTCCCATCCCACAACACGAAACCTGTGGGGTAGATGGGGTAGAAAGTGATTGACAGCTCTCTGTCTCAATATCTTGCTTTTGTTTTAGGGCAGTGGCTGGAATAAATACACCCTATTCACCTTCAAAACCTGGTGTGGATATTGTGAAAAGGCTGGAAGCCATTCCTGTATTTGATTATCAATTCTACTTCCAAGAACTAGTGAGTACTATAAAATACAAATTTGTACTGTATAGTTGGAAGACTGAGATATTGGAATCCAAATTTGGAGTGATCCTCCCATCTTTTTGAGTCATTGTCAGAGCATGCACAGTCTTATTGCGCTCAAATAACCCAGGAGTAAACACAGTAAACAGTGGTCTATATTAAATGATGGTTTATCTTGCACTATCTACAATATCATACACCAGAAACAATATACATACACGTGTTAATACAGCTGTTTACAACCCAGAGCAGTTACAGCAGGAAACAGAAGAGAGAGCACACATCTGCAGAGCCTCCCCTTTTATACAAGGCTCTTAAAGAGATACAGACCCTGCTTGCTCTTAAAGGGACATAGACCCTGCTGAGTCATTCCCAATATTACATCATACATTACATCAGCTGGTTAGCTTCTAAATCATTACCTTGACAGTCCTTTCTAAAGAATGATGAAAAAGAGTTTGGGACTGAACGTAACATATGGAACATCTAACCATCTAACCATGTCTCATGATCAGAGGAAGAGCAGGAGACAGTCTATAAGTGAATCTTTAAATTACAGGCTTTCTATCTCCTTAGTCAGATATCCTATATAACAGTCAGCCAGTTTTAACATATACTTACTGTAGAAACACCTAGCTGACCTTGACTAATCTCAAATAAGTTAATCAGGGTGAGATCCATTTAGCAAAATAATTGGACATTCCAAAATAGAAAAATATCCCCAGACAAGGCTCTGCCAAGATTAGCTCTGTACTTATTTTATTAAATGGTAAAAAAAAATTACAAATGTGGCCTAATGTAGCTTGCCATCCAATCTATTAATGTGGTCACCATGTAGTTATGGGAGTTTCAGGGGCCAAGTTAGAGAAGGCTGAGAATTCTGGAGTAATGCTATCTTAATACTTACTTGCTTAGTTTAGTAATAGGTAAATAATAAAATATCTAATAAAATATCTAACTCCGTTAAATTAGTGGGATGACTTAAATGTTATACGTAATTCTATTGATACAGCTATAAATGAATCCCAATAGAAAAAGGAGGGAACTGAAATCTTGTTCTCCCCCCCCCCCCAGCACTCTACTTACTGAAACTGCTAACCAATTTTATTTTGCATAATTTAGAACTTTTAGTACACTGGGCTGGAGATTTTTCTTGGCAGCGAATGTGTGTTGGCAAATTGTAAAAGAGAGATTTAGACCTGAGAACTCAAACCCAAACTTGCAAGACTGCCATAAACTTTTTTTTTTTTTTTTTTTGCCTAATTGTAATTTTTGCAGACCACTGTAATGTTGCTTCTCCAGCACAAAGTGGCTAGTCCTGGCCGAAGGTTGTGCTAGGCAGTGCTATTCCTGGAAAAAGAGAGAGAGGTTTTTTTTCTATTTGAAGATGAAATCCTGATGGTTTCTGGGGGGGGGGGGGAGAAATGGGAACATACATAGTGAATCAGGTATATCTTCCCTTGTATTAAATTCTAGACAACTGAAGTCCATTGCCTTGTCATTTTTCTCGGTGCTCACAATTTTAATTTAAAGGATGAATATTGAAATTACCCAGTTGCTTCTCAAGTTCTCTTGATTGTTTTATTAGGCCTTATTAAAATGGATCTTAGTTCCCAGTTCCTCATCCTCTATGTATTAGTGTGCTTAGGCTTGCAGCACTGTTTGATGCCTAAGAAAGATTTATATCTCTTTAACAGGTTTTCTCAACCTTGCCAAATTTAAGACACATGGACTTCAACTCCCAGAATTCCTCAGCCAGCATCTTGAAATCCATGTGTCTTAAAAGTTGCCAAGTTGAGAAACACTGCTCAACTCTACTAGCCACTTCAGTGTGTTTGAGGAGTGCTTATAAGGTTAGCTAAGAATAGGCAGCTTGTAGCCTAGGAGTTTAATTTCAACCTCCTGGTTCCCCAAGCAATTTAAAATTATGGTCAATTGTGATAAAATTCTGTTTTCATTTATAAAGGATTTTTTTTCTAACACTTGTGAGAGTTGTCACATCAGTGTTTTTAATGTATAATATATGTAAACATTACATTGTATAGATGTCTTATTCCTGTCATGGTCCCCCCCCCCTTTATCAATATAACATCAGCAAATGAATCAAACTGCCTATTTCTTCTGCAGTCTAGCAGAAGAAATGGAGGCAGAAAATAAAAATTGGCTGAAAGTTTGTCCACAAAATAATTTCAGAAAATCATAGTTTAATGTTACATGTGAATATAGCCTCTCTGTGTTTACCTGCTTCTGTATTTGTTAAGAGAGGATTGTGAACTGGTTTTGACCATTGTAGGGAACAGGTTGTGATATTAAATAACTTCATTTCTTCAGGTCAGACTACTATTTCATTTACTGTATGCCCCTATTCTCTCTGCTGATGAATTCTGGCTTGTATTTATTACTGAATTTCCATCATGCCATTCCTTTAAGATGCATATGCAGGCTTTATGGTCTTCCTTCACTTTAATCCTCATAGCAAAAGCAACACTGTAAGGTGGGAGTACAAATCATCCAGGAAGCTCAATGATCAAGTGACAATTTGAACTTAGATCTCTCCAATCACAGTCCATCATCTATACCAGCCTACTCTTCCACCATACTGGTTTACAAAAGAAAGCATGGTGAACATGAATGCAGTGTGATCCTTAGCTCATAGAGCTGCCCACAGCCAAGGGAAAACTTTTAAGTACTGGAAATGAATAATCTAAGCCAGTATTTCTAAAGATTGGCAACTCTAAGATGTGTGGACTTCAACTCCCGGAATGCCCCAGTCAGCCATATTGAAATCCAATTTAAGTCATCACTTGCATTCTACAGTCATATCTCATCAGCAATTCAGCTTACAGAGTTAGGAAGAAATACTGCTGAGGCTGAGCGCTGAATCACAGCCCCACTAGGCTACAGAGTAGTCTAATTTAGCTTTGCAAGAGAAGGCTTTATTAGTTAGAGATCAGACAATGACGATATGGCTGCATTCAGGCAATTGAAAATTCAAGCCGACAGTTCTCACAGCCCAAAGAGACAAGGGGCTACAAATTTGTTCCTGACAGAATCTATTTATGAGAGAATCTGTTTGGCTTTTTTTCTTTGATTCTTTTAAAATATACTAGCCATTTGTTTAAAAGGAAATCGTGTAATAATAAAGTGGAGGATTGGGGCCAATAGGCAAAGTCTGTTCTGAATAGCATTCCACATATAATATTTTTTATGCATGGCCAAAAAAATCAAAGAACAAAGTACAGATACAATTTTAAATATTGATAAAATATAACAATTTAACAAATAAAATAAATGAATTTTTAAAATGATTTATTGATAAATATTGTATATATTAAAACATATAAAAACTTAAGCTTGTTACTTATTTAATAAATATCTTGTTTTTATAGCCATAGTTAAAAATTTGGCTGTCACAATTCTAATTTTAGGATTTTTGTCTGAAAGTTAAATTTTAACAAATTCAGAAATGCATCTTCTTAGTCTTGATTTTAAAATAGGCCAGATAAATACGTGCTGAAAAAGAGCAATGAAATATGAGCCAGTTTCAAAGTCAATACCATTACAGGAATAGTATCTTTGAAAGATGGGAAACTTTTTGAAATCTGCTATATAATACATTTGATGGTGACACATTTAATCTGGCTTTTCAGAGGATTTTTTTACATTTACTTATATGTAGCAATAGCGCTTAGATTTATATACCGCTTCACAGTGCTTTACAGCCCTCTCTAAGCAGTTTACAGAGTCAGCATATTGCCCACAACAATCTGGGTCCTTATTTTACCGAACTCAGAAAGATGGAAGGCTAAGACAACCTTGAACTGATGAGAAACAAACTCCTGGCAGTGATCTGAATTAGCCTGCAATACTGCATTCTAATCACTGCCCCACCACCGCTCCCTTAAACCTCTAAGAGATAAAGATAGCTGAAAAGCCTCATTGTAACTTATTCCAAAGGCCAGGAGTGAAGCCAGAAAGTTGATTAGTAGAGTGTGTATAGGTCTTGCCTAGGTTGTCTGGGACTTGGGGCTCATGTGTTGGCATCAAGGGTGTCTACAGAGTATGGTCAAACAAATTCAAGATGGTGGCCATAACAGAACAATCAAAGCTGTGCCTGGTTTTTATATGTGTTTCAACGAAAAACTGTTTTGATTCCCCATTGCGGCTATGTCCTCCTCCTCCTCCTGCCCATACTCTGCAAATACGCTTGGTTGGGATGGAATCCAGGCACAGGAAGTAAATTCTAGTTGTATTTAACTGACAGAGATTATGCTTGCACTTACGTTGTGGGGTACCTTAGAGTGGTTTGTGAAGATGTTGATCATGATGATGAATATGATGATGATGATGTTAATGTCGTAGTTTTCTGAGAGAGCTCAAGGTAATGTAAATTGGTAAGTTTCCCTGAATTCTATCCCCATAATAACAGCATTGTTAATTTGCGCTGAAGGAGAATGGCTAATCCAAAGCGACCCAGTCATGTGAGAATAGGGGTGAAGAAGCTCAAAGCAAATAGCAAAAGCCAATAAATAAATAGGCTAAAATCTTCTAATCTGGCATTGTTGTTTTAAAATGGCCAATTCTGCCTTTGAAAAAATGTGACCAGATTTTGAAGATAGGGGAAATCAAAATCTTCTTTTATGAAATATTTGGAATTGGAGGCCAACACTGTTTTTTAAAAGGCTTCTTCTCCACCTGTCTGTAAACTAACTACAGGAATATTACTGCTGCAGTCATGTATTCCATCTGATAGGATTGTAGTTATCATCTAGTCCTAAGAGCTTTTAATAGCATTTAGCATTTATATACCATTTCATAGTGCTTTAAGATAGCACTCTCTAAGCAATTTACAGAGTCAGCATATTGCCCCCAATAATCTGGGTCCTCATTTTATAGACCTTGGAAGGATGGAAGGCTGAGTCAACCTTGAACCGGTCAGGATTGAACTCCAGGCTATGAGCAGAGTTAGCCTGCAATATTGCATTCTAACCATT